TGGCCTGGGGGATGAAATCCTTAAAATGGGCTACCTTGGGAAAAGGAAAAAAAAGAAGAAAAAAAGAAAAATAACTGAAGAGTGGGATTCATTCCAAAGCAGGTGCTTTCTCCACAAGTATATGAGGCACATGTGGCACATCTGCACTTCTATGGTAACCACAGCAGTCTACAAACAGAAAAATGAGGCTTTAAGAAACAGAACCAAGTCACTCAACCAAGGCTCCCAAAATGCAGTGCATAGAGAGGATTCTACAGCCGACAGATGAAATTTAATTTCAAGCTCTTAATGTGCACCAGAATTAAATGATTACAGTTTTAAGTGTTGCCTTCCCACATTCTACACATCTCTATAAATTATGAATAAGTCTGCAAGAGAAGGAATCCTCCTTGCCTGTAGAAGGAAACTATTGGGAATGCAGTGGAGAAGCTGGCACGAGGAGCAGTGCTCAGGTGCTTACTTTGTGGGGGAGCACAGGTTTGAGGCTCCTGCTGAAGTAGCTGAAGTGATCCCCGTTCTTGTGCACCTGCACGCGCTCGCCGTCGTACTTGATCTCGGCGTACATCCCGTTGGGACACTTCTTCATGGCGTACTCGATGGACTTGCAGGCCTCAGCCTGGGGGAGACAGGGGCAAACGCTCAGGAGACACGTGGAAAATAAAGCTACTCTTACCTAAGTTCATGAATGAGCTATGGTGAATTCCCCTGTAGAGCTTTTTGTACAGAACCTCTGTTAGCAAGTCCACGTTTTCCTTAATTATTCACTTGGAATCATCTGCATATGCCCAGATAATTACAGCTTTTCAGTGCTTATCCCCTCCAAATGCTTTAAAATGTGCACTGTGCCTTCTGTAAGAGTGTTCTCAGCCCAGAAGTAAATATTTAACTCTGCTTTGTTCACACAAAAAGCCAGGCTTATTTGAATCTCTAATCCACTGGAAAGCTTACACTATTTCCAAAGAATCAACTTCTGCAGTGACAGCAAATAAATACAAAAGACTGAGAGCAAGACTAAGAACAAGGCAAGGTTTTAGCTTGGCAGTGGCACTCAAGGTGCAGGTCCTGAGTGTATTGAACACTTGGCCTGGTGGAGGGAGATGCTTTCTAAATTGGCATTAAACAACACTGAGCCCTGCTCAGCCACTGCCTTGGCTCCTGACCCTCCCAGCTGGGGGTTAAACTGCCCTGAGCCCTGCACAGGCACTGTCCTGGCTCCTGACCCTTCCAGCTGGGGGTTAAACTGCCCTGAGCCCTGCACAGGCACTGCCCTGGCTCCTGACCCCCCCAGCTGGGGGTTAAACTGCCCTGAGCCCTGCACAGGCACTGTCCTGGCTCCTGACCCTTCCAGCTGGGGGTCTCTGCTCCGTGTCTGGCTGCCAGGAAGGGACCCAACCTACCAGCATGGGCTGCACTGGGGTCATGAGTGAGGCCTGCACGCTCAGGGTCCTCTTCAGGCCTGGCACCTTCTCAGACTCCTGCTGGTTCTGCAGCACCCGCTCCACCACGTCCTGCAGGTTCCGCGAGGCCTTGAACGCCTCGTAGGCGTTGGGATCCAGAGCGTCCAACCTGCAACGCGTGGAGACAGGGGCACATTGATCAGCCTCAGGGCTGCTGCTGCTTCTGCTGCCTCAGGAAATGGAATGAGCATTTCTGGGTTCGTGTCACTTACACGTGCTTTGCTCCAGCATTCATTTTCAAGTCATGTTTAATTAGCCTGATGATGCACTTCAGGTCATTGCCCGTACACCTGAAGAAGAGAAGATTCAGCAAAGGTGTGAACTGAAAAGCTGTGCAGCTGGAAAGAAGAAACTCAGCCAGGTCTCTTTAAAAAAGGCCCTCCCTTTGCAGAGGGTTTAAACAAAACTGAGGACACGTTAATAATGACACCTCAGAGACACAAGGGAATAGCCAAAAGGCTTTCCAGCATATTTATGCCAACATTAACTCTGCCTCAGTGTTGATGGACCTTCCAAAATTTACTTAATTAATCAAAAATAACTGATCAGAAGATCCTTAGCCTCAGGTCAACACAAACTGAGTCAGACCAAGAATCTTTGTCTAAACTACTTGAAGGCTTTTCCCAACATACTTAAGAACAGCAACTTCATTAACAGCTAAACACCATTAGGGTATTACTGCAAATCACTTGTTTGACTGAAGTGTCCTGAGAGGCAGGGATGAAGTTCTCTGGTATGAACAAGAGCCATAAATGTTCTCCATTGCTGTCAAGGTGTCTCAATCACACCACTAACAGCAGCTTACAGATGCTAATAAAGTTCAAATAGTGGCTCACGATTAATTTTTCACCTACTCCAGCTTGTAGAGAACCACTCCAGTGTCTGGGCAAACCTTGAGAGGCTGATTCCTTCCCTCACCTGCGGCTGATCTGCTGCAGGACACTCTGCTGGTCATCCTCCTTGGTGAGCTTGGACAGTTGGATGAGGAATTCATCGACCTCCTGGATGGTCAGGAGGCTCTTGGCTGCTGGAGGACAGGTCTTGCTCTGCTCGAAGAAGATCCGTATGGTCTCGGAAACATCTCCCTGTCTCCAAAAACAAAACCAGAGTGTGGATGAGAGGCATGGCCAGAGAATGGGGGTGCCACTGGGGATTCTGCATGGTTCCAGTGAGGACAAAGGACAGGAGTGATTCTGGGATTGAATGAAGAATTGCATGGAATCAAACACTTAAGGAAGCTGCCATGACACATAAAGCTGCTCAGCTGTTTAATTTGCCAAGAAAGGTAATTAAGAGTACCAGCATCATCTCATGGCTCTATTTTTCACTGCTGCAGCAGCACAGACCCTTTATTTCCTCAGGATGAATCCACTTGTAAATCCAAGGATGTGGGACAGGCTAGTGATGTCACTAGAAGGCAGTACACAGCAAGGCAATGAACAGAGGTGAAAGAATTACCTTTATTATCTAATTCACCCCTTTTCTGCACCTGGCAGTGAAATCAGAGGGTGCACAGGCACTCAGTGCACAACTGAGCACTTGCAATTGTAGCAGCTTAATTGTATCAACCAACTGCAGCTGCCAGTGACAGGTCTGTTAATTGAATCCCAAGTTTTGATATGTGATGGTACAGAAAGAGTAATATAAATCAGTTCTGTAGGAATGTGCCAGACAAAGGAGTTTAGACAAACAGATGCAGCCCACCTCGCCTAGATAATTTTAGTCTTGCTTTCTAAAGCTTTGCCAGGTGAATTCTTATCCTGCTTTCTGCTCAAACATGATTTTCTACAGGTTCCAGATGGCAGAAAATGCTATAAAAACTGCTAAAGCCAAGGAAAACCAAAATAAATCACCAGCTCCCATTCTAACAGTCAAGCTAAGGAGTAAAAAACCTAAACCATTACAGAATTTCCACAAGCAAAGGGCTGAACAGCAGAAATTAAGAGAGCTGCTGTCTGTACTCACCTGCTCCAGGTCCCGGACCATTTCTTCCTGGTTGCAGTTAAAAATCCTGCTGAACAGCTTTACAATCTGCTTATCATTCAAGTTGTAAACTATTTTAATGACACCTGGTAACAGCATCTTAATGGTCAGGTATACATCACCATGAAAACCATCTGGAAAAAAAAAAGCACATTATAACTGTGAGGATTCATTTTCATGTCCAGGCTTTGGTTGGTTGTGTCCATTTGCATAACCCTGGGGATTAAACCCACAGTTGGAGCTTGGAATTCTTAGGGGAAATAGCCATAATTTGCCTCTAAATCTGATCTCAGCACTGAATTTGGCACCTTCAACACCTGAGTGAGACATTTTTGTCTGAATTTTCTATTTAAAGAGCTCGCTTTTCAAAGATTACCTCCACAGTTCAGAAATCACCAAAGCATAAGGCTGGGACCACGCAACAGTCAGATTTTCATTTCACCTTTCCTTTTGAGATCAGACTTCGAAGCTGATTCTGAAAGGGCTGAGAATTCCAAGGTGGAGCCATACCTCCTGCAGATCCCTTCCTGAGGAAGTCCTGGATGATCTGTGTTTTCACGTTGTAGCTTGGCTTCTCAGCCACCATGGCACAGAGCTTGCGGAATTCCCGCAGCAGGCAATCCTTGTGCTTGGGATCACACCTGGCTGCAGACAGGCTGGGTTTGTGGGCAGAGTTTGCAGGGGCATCTTCTGAATTCTTTGGCTTGGCTGCAGCAAACACATCACAAGTTATTTTTTTAACAACACGGAGCAAATGTTGAAGTTACCTCTGCCTGGGAACAATCCCAGTGTGCTGGAAAAGCTTCAGAGCTAAAATTTATGACTTTTATAAAAACCTTCCAACTATTTTTACTCTTCAAATTACACCACAACTTCCTAGATCTTATTTCTATCAGAAAAATATGATAGTGATCCCAACTATAGTGAAAATTAATTTCTCCTTCCAGATGCCTCTATTAATTTTTTTTTTCCTACTTTACAAGCTTTTGCCCTTCAGAGCAAGATGCTTCCCTAAGGTAAAATCAAAAAATGGGGGATTATGTCCCCATCCCCTTTTGTCTCCCAACACCAATCTCCTAGAGGAGGTGATGTCTTTGGCTGTGCTGTGGCTCTGGGTAGTCTGGAGCTGGGTGTCAGGTCAGTCAGAGCTCACAGATGAACTGTCATTCTGGCAGCTGCTCCTCAGGACAAGTTTTCCTTTCCATGAACACCACTGAGAATTCCTCAGCAGTTTTCTCCAGATTTTGAGCTCCACATGGGATAACTGGAATTTGACTGGAATGAGCCAGTGGATGCAGGGAGATGGAGTCAGCCTGACAATGTGGGTCACAGCAGAACCTTTGTTTCCTTGGGAAAACTGGAAATTCAAACATCTTTCAAGATGTTCTTTCAAGACTGACAGCCTAAAAAAGCACTGACAGCTTTTGACAAACCAGAATTAAAACCCCCTAAATCATCTATAGATAAAAACCTGCTGATCTGAGCCAAGCTGAAACACCTCTTGATGTTGAGATTAAAAGAAACTGATTTCCCAGAATCAGTTTCTTAATTCTTACCAGTGAATCCAGAGAATTTCTTTGGTGGATCTTTTGTGGTCAGCTGTCCTGTGGCAGTGAGTTTTGCCTGCACTATCACCTTTTTCTTCGGGGTACCTCCAGTCTTGGAATTGGCTTCTGGAAAGCAGAAAGGTTCAAAAAGGCAATCAGGAATAATCTCATACATCCCTCACCATATAATGCAGCTTACAAAACAAAAAGCCTTAAAAGAAATAGGAACTGGAGAAGAAAAAAAACCAGGTGTTTTTCAGATAACAAAAGTTAGAAACACATGTAATTTATTAAAGATTACAGAAAAAGGTGGAAATGGAAAATAACAGATGCTTCCTCATGGGTTTTATTTGCCCATGAATTAAATCACCTAGGCCTTGTCCACAATCACTTGTGACAAATGAATCAAGGAGTGTCACTGTAGAAGGGACCATTTCTTTCCTTTCCCACAGGGCTGAGACAGGGACTGAAGCAGCACCACACACTTTGTTCCTAAGCCACACAAATCCATGAGGATTTCATGGCAAAGGCAAAGCTGGGTGACAACCTCTGGCATAACTTGAAAGTAAGTGACCCTTAAAGAAGTGACCCTGGCACTGCCTCGTGCCTCACCTGAGATGTACTTGTTGATTATTTCCTTCTCCTCATCCTGTAGCTCTTCCCACCCCTCCAAGTCTGTGATGTCTTCTATTTTCTTGGTGGTGGCCCGGGCCTTGTCCAGCTTCTCAAAGATGCACTTGACATGGTACCACTCCTTCATGTCCCCTCCAGACTCGGTGAAAGGATTGGGAACGATCTTCCCAATGCGCACCATCCCCTTCACGATCTTCTCCTTGCACTTCTTGCAGCCCGCGGTGCCCCGCTTGGCATAGTCCACACAGTACCGCTGCTCTGCCATGTCCCCCGCAGCCGCGCAGGCCGAGCGCAGCCAGCTGCCCAAGAGCAGGGAGAGGGGAAAAGAGCGGCGCTGCTTCGGGGATGGCACGGAGACACGGGGGAACAGCAGCGGGCACCAACAACCGGGGCTGACTCCGCCAGAGGAGGAGAACGGTCGGGGCAAGGGGAGCTGTGGGCGAGGGCAGAACAGCGCTGTGCCCCTGCCGAGAGCGCGGGCAGCGTGTGACAGCGTCCTGCCGCCCGTGGGCATCCAGTCCGTGCTGAGGGTGCTGCGGGCGACACACGGGACACTGAGCACCCTCTGCCCGCCGGGACCCGCTCAGCAGCCCCAGCCCTCACCCCCCGGCCCGGCACCCGCTCCGCGGCGGCCTCCATCGCCCCCGCTCCGCTGCCCCACACCCCGACCCCTCACAGCCCCTCCTCGCTCCCAGGCCCTCTCCCGCCTCAGCTTCTCCCCGAGGCCTCTTTCCCGCCCTACC